AAAAAACTCATATAGAAAACTTGATATATTATACCCCAGCGTCATAAAACAACTGATTATATGGAAGAAAAAAATTACCGGATGTAAATATTATTTTATTTCACAATGTTTACTGAGCACCCACTAAGTGCTAAGTACTAAGGTATTAGTAAGAGTGAAACGAACATACACCACAGCTGCTGCTCTCATAAGGCTGCACAGTGATGGCTGTCTTTGGATCATATTTTGAGTATTTGAGTGTTTTAAGCTCAAGTTTTACTGAAACTTTCAACATCTTACAATATGTTAGCATTATTTTTAAAACAAAATGACTAATATTATGAAACGATTTTTCAAAGCATAAAGTTGAGTTTAAAAAGCAGGATGTTGAAATCATGATACAACATTAATCTCATTTGTTTAAAATGTACCTTTATGAATGAAAAACATCTAAGGAAATTTACCACAAAACATTATTAATAGTCATAGCTGGGTGATGGGACTGGATAAGATTAGTTTTCCTTATTACACTATCGGTCTACTAAATTTTCTACAACGCGATTCAGTGACGTCTACAATTAAAGAATACATTGGTAAAAGTCCATAAAACCCCATTAAAACGTGGAGAAAAAGAATGACAAAACCATTCACAAAAGCAAAAATACAAGTTGCTAGGGTAACTAGGCAGCCCCATAGGACAAATGGCAATTTAAAAAACAAAAGGGTTTTTGTCTAACGGCAGAGAATTTTCGCGAGCCCGCTTCCCCATCCCCCTCGAAGCAGTAACCCCAGCCCCAGGACTTGTTAGGCGCAGACAACAGAGGAATCAGTCTTTTCTCTAGAAAAAGGACTCTGTGGCGTTTTTTCAAACACGAAGGGCGGGGTGAGAGGCGAACAGGGCCGCTCCACGGCGTAACACTGCCATCTTCAGGCCAGGGAGACTGAGCGCCACCAATCCCAGAAGAAAATCAATCTTTTCCGCTGCTTTTCTGCTCAGAGCCCGAAGATCTTGGCTGGGGAAGCCAACTAGGATGAACAGGAGGACCAGAGAATGAACCAGTACCAGCCGGAATGGCCCCGGCGGACGGACCCCTACACGGCCGCCTTTCCCAAGTCCCGCCCTCAGAACCATAGCAACAACAGCAGGAAGTCCCAGCGCCACCGGAAATACGCGGCCCGGAGCCGGGGCTGGCCTGGGATTGGCGGGTTCTGGGCCTGCGCGTCGGAGCCGACTGAGGTCTGTGCCAGTCTCGCTCCCGCTTCCCGTCTGGAGGTTTTATTCCCTGCTCTGTTGCGAGCTGTCGGCTAAGGGATGGGGCCGTTGATTTCCAGTATCTGAGGCACGACTACCCCAATCACCCTGCTGCCCCACGTTCGAGACCTGTACAAACCCCCTGTCATTCTTCACCTCTGACGTGGCGCATTCACGGTCTTCCTCTCAGCCCTGTGTCCTCTGATCCTTCCTGGCGACCTCAGCGCCCACGAGGCTGGCCAGGCCACCCCCGGAGCCTCTCGGAACTCTGGGATCTTCTCCTCCCTAACTGAGCATCCGCCATCCATGCTCACGCCCTGGGCCTCAGGGAAGACCGCAGCCCTCCGTGGTGTACATTTCTTGCGTCCCCCTCTCTCAGCCCCAGCAGCACCACCTCCTTCCCTTCCAGCTGCCTCCCCCCAGTGGCGCAGCCTTCAACGCTGGGAGGCCGCCAGTCTACTAACCGCATCTGCAACCGCCTTCCTTACCCTCCACCAGGCCCTCCTTACCCAGCTTACCCACAGCTATAAACTCTCCCCTTTTTCCCCTCCTGGCAATACCCCTAAATGGGCAAACTCTCTGCACCCTCCACGTTTGTATCTTCTGTCTGGTTTACTTACAAGAGCTCTCCACAAGCGCCAGCTTCCAATCTTCTCATGATAGTCACCGATATTCCTTTGACAAAACAGAGGTGATCAGAAAGGAACTCTCAGCACTTGCCAACAACACTGGATCTGCACTTGTAATCTCTGCTGCCCCTCTGGAGGAGGTGACCTGACCTTACTTTAGGCCAGGCCCTTTACCTGGATCCTATGCCTTTCTACTTTATTAAAGAATTGTCTTTTGCAGTTGAAAGGTGGTCTCACTAAGAACCTAGCTAACAGAGGAAAATAAACTATCAAACAGAAAGTAAGAGAAATAAACTCACAACTACCCTTTGTTTAATTAAACACGTACAGCCTAACTTGTTATCTCTGAGTTCTTTCTCAACCTTGAAAAAGTTCCTGAGAAGACAGTAGGAGTAGGAACTTCTTCTGCTTCCTCTTGAGGAGACAGTACCAGATGTCTCCCGCTATCAAGAAGAAAGAAAAAACCAAGAAAAAACTATCGATCTGCTACGTGAGAAACAGAAAAAAGCCAACACAGCAGCTTCACAGCCACTTTCTCTCTCTCCCTTTCTTTATTTCTTTCTTGGGAAAGTAAATAAACTTTACTTCTATATATCCTAATTACTGTCTGAGAATTCTTTCTCCCTGGCCACCACTTACCGCATATGGACTTCACACCCTAACAGCAGTTATAATTTCTCCTGAATTATGTTCTCCATCTCTATTGTATTATTCCATCGTGTATAAAGTTGGCAGAGGATTGCTGGAGTTAATGCTGGTCTTGGCTCTTGCTGTGAAGTAGGTGATACCACAGGGAGCTGCATTCCCTGAGGGAAAAATGTGGAAAGTGGCTGATTCAAGAGCTAAAGATTCTACCATGAAGGAAGCCTAACCCAGCCAGGGGCTAGGTGATCCCGCAGCTGAAGTTGTGGGGTGGCCAGTCCTGGACAGGGAACTTTTCAACTTTCATGTTTGTCTCTGCATTGTCCAGTTTTAGCAAGAATCCTGCTAAGTCAGTTTAGTGAGAATTCCCTATCCTTCATATCTCAGCAGGTCCTCATCCCTTACGTGAGGTCTGATCACCTTGGCCTGCCTTTAGCAGTAATCCTGTTCAATTTAGCCAGAATCCCCCTTACCCTTGGTGTTTCCTCTTAGTAATTTTCCATTCACTGATCCCCATTCTGCTCCTTGACTATAAATTCCCACTGTTCCTTGTTGTATTTGGAGTGGATCCCAATCTCCCCCCCACTACAAAACCCCATTGCAATGGTCCCTATACCTATCTCAATGGTTCTGACAAAAGTCTGCCTTACACTTCTTTAACAAGTGTCATGAATAATTTTTTCCTTAACACTCTTCACCTGGATCCCATGCCCTTCCACATTCTCAATGAGTGGGCTTTTGCAGTGATCATTCCTTTTACTTGAATCATCACATTCTTCATGTCTACTGTATCATGCTATCATCTAAAAAGTGGGCAGGGAGATGGTTAGACTTGAAAGATTTTACTTTCTGGAGCTATCTTGGTTACCTCTGTGTTTTAGGTGAGACCCCAGAGGGCTACATTCTCGGGTCGGGGGTGTTGAAAGTGGCTGATTCAAGAGCCAGGAGTTCTACCATGAAGGAAGCCTAACTCAGCTAGGGACTAGATGACCCTGCAGTTGAGGCTGTGGAGTGTACAGCCCTAGACAGGGCCTGGATAAAGGATGAGACCCAGATTCAGAAGAGTTTGCAGGTGTCTTCACAGGTGAGCTAAGGTTGAGTCGGCCAGGGAGCATCAGATTCTGACCAAGATGAGAGAGATAAAAATGCATATATACCAGTTGCAGACATGGGTGAGCATGTCACCATCAGCAGCAGGACCTGGGAGACAAGAGTTATCGCTTCCCTCAGAAACCACCCAGACACTACAATCAACATAAGATGTCATAGACTCCCTGTCCCCATCACCATGGAGACCCCATCTCTATCTTGGAAAGGAGTAGGAGGGTGGGGTGGAAATCTGAGAGACTGATCATTTTCACCAAACAGATTGAGTATTTATACAAATGGACCATACACGTGATTGCATCAGATGACACCAGATTAGATAAAAATCCAGTGTTTTTATCTCCATACTATTCAGGGTAGACACTCATGATGAAGTCCAGATCAGTCTGAGCGAATAAATGAACCAAATACCTGTGGGGTCTGAGGGGCACGAGTGACTGTGTGGTCTCTGCACACCATCTGCTCCGGCTCCTCGCCTGCCGTCTTATCAGTCCATGTTAGAGTGGGATTGGGGCTTCCTTGCCTCCTCTTCTCCTTTAACTCAGGAAAATTTTAACCTCCCATACATGGAGTCCCAGGACAGAGCACAGAGAGAGGAAGGGACCAGAAGACAGACACGCAGAGTGGAGTAACTGATGAGAGGTGTCACTGCAGTGAGCAGGGCCTCCTCAAGGCCCATCATTGCCCTCCGTGAGTGATGCCGGGCTCCACTGTCCTTTATTAACACACACCCCATGTCTCAGGGCCTGAGCTCTGGAACTTGGAGTTAGAAAATGGTTGTAGCACCATGTACCGCTGGGGAAAATGACAGAACCACACTACACTTTCATAGTCATCATCATCTCCTGGGATCTCAGTGCTAGATAGCAGGCTTTCTTTGACTCTGGTCCCTCCATCTCCTGGAACCCCCTACCACACATCTGTCCCCTCCCTCTTGGCCAAAGCACATTCCCATTCTCACCTGAGATGCAAGCAGTGAGTGGGAGGGAGAAGGGCCTTAGTGCTAGGTCAATAAATTTGTTTTGTCACAAGGATCCTAGTGCATGTATAGAGGCATATACAGGAGCACTCCTTCCAGCCCAGAGGAGCATAGTGATGAGGACATAAGGTATAAGCTCAGGAGGCAGGGGATGATGTGGGAATGTAGCCAGATGCCAGATAATGAAAGGAGGGAGACACTACTTAGCTTTTAAAATTATTGCCTACCATTTCTTTTACGGCTTTTTAAAAGAAAAGAAAAAACAATAGACTTATTTTTAGTAGTTTTAGGTTAACAGCAAAATAAATGGAAAGTAAAGATTAATCTCATATTCCTCCTCATCCCAGCCTCAAAGTTTCCCCTATTATTAACATCTTGCATTAGTGCGGTAAAGCTGTTATAATTGATAAGCCAATATTTATACACAATTATTAACTAAAGTTTATAGTTTACATTAGGTTTCACTATAGATTTTGACAAATGTATACTGACATATATCTAACATTACAGTATCATATGGGATAGTGTCACTGCCCTAAAAATCCCATGTTCCACCAACTTATCACTGTCTCTCTCCCCCAAATTCCTGGAAACCACTTATCCTTTCAGTGTCTCCAAAATTTTTCCTTTTCTAGAATGTCATATAGATGGATTGATACAGTATATAGCCTTTTCATTTTGGCTTTATTCACTTAGCAATATACACTGAAGGTTTGTCCACATCTTTTCCTGGCTTGAGAGCTCATTTCTTCTTATTACTGAATAATATCCCATTATACAGACATACCAGAGTTTGTTTATCCATTCACCTATTGGCGATGTCTTCATTGCTTCTGAGTTTTGGCAATTATTAATAAAGCTGCTGTGACATTTACATGTAGGTTTTGTGTACATATTAAGTTTTCAACTCATTTAGGTTAATACCAAGGAGCAGGATTTCTGGACCATATAGTAAGAATATGTTTAATTTTGTAAGAAAATGACAAACTATTTTACAAAGTAGATGTACCATTTTGCTTTTTCGCCAGCAATAAATGAGAGTTCCTGTTGGTCCACATCCTTGCCAGCATTTGGTATAGGCAGATTTTGGGATTTTGGTTATTCTACTAGCTGTGTATTGGTATCTAATTGTGGTTTTAATTTTCAATTACCTAATGATACATGTTGTTGAACATCTTTTCATATGCATATTTGCCATCTGCATAGCCTCTTTAGTGAGGTATCTGCTCAGATCTTTTGTCTATTTTTTATTTGGGTTGTTTGTTTTCTTATTGTTGAGTTTTCAGAATTCTTTGCATATTTTGGGTACCAGTCCTTCATTACATTATGTGTTTTATAATACTTTCTCACAGTCTGTGGCTTATCATTTCATTCTCTGAACAGTGTCTTTCACTGAGCAGAAGTATTTAATTTTAATGAAGTCTAGTTTATCATATTTTTCTTTCATGGATTGGGATTTTTGTGTATTTTAATAAGCATTCCCCAAACTAAGGTAACCTAGGTTTTCTCCTACATTATCTTTTAGAAGTTTTATAATTTTGCATTTTACATCTAGGTCTAAGATTCATTTTGAGTTAATTTTTATGAAAGGTATAAGGACTGTCTGGGTTCATTTTTTTTGTATGTGGATGTCCACCAAGGCTTATTTTGACATATACATCATGTTTAGGGTCATATCTACAACTGTTTATTTAGAGTAAACTCTACCCTAACCCTGCTTTATCTGAAAGAAATTCAGCCCCATTTCTAGCAACATGGGAATAAAAAACCACAGGGATAAATTTGGCCAGAAATTTGCTCAGTAATACATGAAATGCTTAGCCTATATAAAAAAAATTGACCGCAGAATTGTACACTTTGAACAAGGCTTTAAATGTTGCAGTTCCTGCTCTGAGATGCATATGGATTGAAAAACACTATTCAAGTGAATATGTAGCATTTTGGTCATTTGGGTATTTTGTAGTAATTTCTTGTTGGCCTATGGGGAGAACCCCAGTGTAATACCATTTGGAAAGATGCATAAAAACCATGGCTGTATCTGAGAGCTCTTTTTTTTTTCTATGAAAAAAGAGCCCTGATGCTGAAGACTTTATTCAAATTATCTAATTTTTCAATCGACATAAAATTGTATGTATTTTCATGTATATCATGATGTTTTGAAGTACATACATATTATGGAATGGTTAAGTATAGCTAATTAACATGCATACTTTACATAGTTTTTTGTGGTAAGAACACTTAACATCTACTCTCTTGGCATTTTTCAAAAATACAATATATTGTCATTAACCATAACCACCATGCTATACAATA